CCCAAAACCAGGACCGTAATAATTAATCAGGCGCCTTATTATCGCGGGCTATCCATTAGAGGGCCCCGGAAGTCATTAGAAGGGCTTGAAGGGCTAATGGGGCACCTTCGAAGTCACTTATCAACGGGACCCACGTGCCACCGAGCATCAAATCAATGCAGGGACTCTCTGCACCTCTTTGCTTTTGGGAATACGGTTCAAAGACGGTTTTTGCGGTAAGGTAAAATACTAGGGACTATTATTTAGGTAAGTAGAGGATTCATTTCCTTCTTGGAGTCGTGTCTTGATAAGTAGATGGACAGAGCTTGATGGAGAAGCATTAATCAGAATGGTAGTTTATTTTCAATCAAGTTTAAGTGTACCTATGAGAAAACTTGTTACAATGTGTATTATAATAGAAGTTTTTATATAAATGGAAATAATTTAGTAGGTATTTTTTCAATGCGACTCAATTTCCTCAAGTTTTATCAATATTCATGAAGTTACATTATGTCAATTCCGTATAAAACTTCACTACAAAACCTGGAAAACAACTCAGGATCCCTTAAAAATTTGAGAAAGGTACCTACATTAAGTTCGTCTATTTTGCCCCAAAGAAATTCGATCTACCATATCAATCGCGATTAATATCATAACAAATAAAGGGAATTTCCACTAAGTATATTCTCGATCGAACACTATCAAATGTTTATGGAGTGCTGGAGGCAATGTTTATCATATTATCATAAACCTAGAAATATTCTAACATCTTCAGAAACAGAATCCTTTGGTACCTATAGCTAATAAGTAATTTGAATGCCTCACCGGTGTTTCTTGTAATATGTTTACATTATAATGGAAGTTATTCAATCAACGTCTACTATATACATCTAGGCCTATTATAGTCTATTATACCTAGAAAATATATTCTGAGGACTAACAATGAGTGTATAAAACAAATACAAAATAAAAAACAGTAAATAAATGTTAAGCTTCTACGAGTAAAACAACATTTCTGTAATAATAAAACACTCATAATCCCTCAAATAATATTTATTGTAAAATTTTCCATTACTTTCCATTCAGACAGTCACTCAAAACTAGTTCTTTTGTGTATTTTATCGTTTTATATTATTCTTTTTATTATTCCCTCCAGATGATGGGCAAAAATAGAAAACCAGAAAACAATCGTCGGGATTCCTTTTTCCGTTCCGGAAAATATTTAACTTGAAAAAATCACTAAAGGATTTAAAGTACCCAACAGTTTCTGAATGAGGCAACTCCTCCCTCAAATTTTCCCGAATAAAAATACAACGTGTCAGCTTAACAATGTAGCCAGCGTACTGGAAGCTGCCAGTCGATTTCCTCTTGGAAATTACCATCGAATTTTCGCTTTTGTTTAGGGAAAATGTATTGGTTTAAAAAACGTTTTTCGAGCTCACACAACAAAACATGGACATGTATAATAAACACGGTTACATTAAATCCAATAACGCTTACAATACACTAGCAAATATTGACTTTGGGGATTTTTGCACATTTTAGAGGAAATGCGAACATTTAAAACAAACAAACAAACAGAAAAAATTGATTGCGATTCTATTTTTATGTTTTTTTGCCTAATATTTCCCAAAACCCATTCCTAATGACAGTTACTGTTGGATCGAATCCGGAACTTTCTGGATGAAATAGCACCTAGTAAATTCCTTGAAACTGCACTGACCATAACTCCTGGAACGTTTGCGGTTTTAGCGAACAATTGTAACTTCTTCGAACCAGAAAGTGGGATTAGACAAAGTGGTAAATTTAGAGAGTTAATTGCCAGTTTAATTTTATATGTCTTAGATGACCTTAATTAAAACGCGCTTTAAAGGTAAGTTGCAGTTAAATTGAAATTTTCCTAACGAGCCGCACATGAAACGAAGTTAGACTTTGCGTTATTTGCCACACCAGGATTAGAATATTTTGTTGTTACAAGCAGATTATGACGTGAAGTCCTATCGTACTTAAGCACTCTCCTTTTATATGGCTGTAAAACAAAACCATCATAGCTCATGCCATGTTATCACCTAAAACCGCAACCGATGCCAGTGCATGCTATGCAGAATACTTGAGATATTCATGAGGCCATTTCAAGTTTATGTATTTACATTAAAAGTTGTTATGTACCTCAAGGTGGGTGATAACGGGAACAACTTTGGTAAATTCGCTTACTTGAGATAAGGTATTAGAGACTTCCCAAAAAAAAAATTAGTAAATTACTTAATTTATGACTATAGTAACTCGAGCGATTCGAAATATTCTGTGATAAAGTAATTTATTTCTAATTGGAATTGGGTCGATTTGTTTTTCCCGTTTTCGTATACAATACAATACAAAACACAAGGGCCAGAAGACTGCTGGATATTGTTCCAAAAACCGGCTGCGAGGCCAGGCAAAAGGCAAGAAAGAAAATTAGATACTTGTTTTTCTTGAAGCGGATTGGCCCGCGCTAATTTAGATTGATTGATGGCGTATACATCAGTGATGATATGAAAAATTTACGCTTAGCATCTTTTATATTTATATTTTAGAAGGGGCATCGGCTTTTGTAAAGGCGGTGGTATATTTTTTGCTTTGTCATTGTGGCTGTTAGAAGGATTAATATTTAGAAGCTGAGCGTAACATCGATTTCGGCCTCGAAATAATTTCTGCCGCATTTTTCTTGACATGATATTTATTAGGAGAAAGGAAGTTTTTCGTTCCAAAACTCGGAACGAACGGTGAAAGCGAGATATGTTAAACATGCACCGCACTTGCCAAAATGCTAATGTTGCTTACACAGATTTGTGGCATTTTGAATGATTACGGCTTTTCGAAAATCGATTAGGTATTTTTATAGTCTAGAATGATTTATAATATCAATAGTGGTAGACTTCTGACCGAAACGCCATCTACGGCATGAGCACAGTAGTCATAGGCCGTTTTGTCATTCATGAAATTAGCCATCAAACCAGTAAAAACTCGGTTAGTTAGTTGTCCAAAAGAAAGTAAAAAAAAAATAAATGAGAGTTTTTTCGCTATCTCAGTCACAGGAAATAAACTCTACTCCAGTTAGTTGTGAAGCTGAAAAGTAGCACCAACGGCACCGATCTATGGTAATAGCATAGTACTAGTCGCCGTTCATAGTACCGGCTACCAAACTGACAAGATCAAAAAACCGGTTACTTGACTACGATCTTCTCAGTTCTCAGCGTAAATAGAAACAGCGAAAATAAGAAATTCATGTTAGTGTCTGAAAACAAAGAGCAACAAGAACGATGGTAGACTTGTAGTCATGACGCCATCTACGGGAGGCACCATCAGCGTCAAACCCAACAAATAGTAGCGTCTTTATGCCACAGATCGCGTTACTACCATCAGTCTGTGGGGTTCATCCACTGATCTCAAAAATAAATAAATGAACAAAGACGCTTTTAATGCTGCTAATTCACGAGGCCTAATGTAAACAACTGGGACAGCTGTGAGCGTGCGCAGTAGATACATGTACTGTGTACTGCGCAGAATATTGTCAATGCAATGCGCAGAATATTGTCAATGAAAATGAAGGATATTTCAAAATTTAGAACAGTTGTTCGAAAGATAAGACACTGCGCAGGCGTTAAGGCGGAAACCCATTAGCAACACGCCACGCCATGCTATACCATGTCACGCCATGTGACGAAAATGTATGCGTATATTTTTCCATTTATTTACATGTGCCGCGTACACACTTGCCACACGCGATACCACGCCATGGCACGCCACGCCATCCGACGTGTGACGATTTCAAATGTCCAGATACTGCACACGCGTGTTGGTACGTGTGATGTTCCCCGGCCGCCTCTCTAGCCCCGCCGCAATCTGTTTCTGTATTTATTCAAAATTTTGTCGCGTCGCAAACAGTACAGAACCATATTTTTCTCGATTCCGGTTTATTTTGTGAATCCAGAATCTTCTTTTTTTTTTCTTCTGTAAAATCAGAGCCGCAGCAGCACATTCTTCTAGACACTCTAAGTCCCTAGACGAACTGGTTCTATACTCCTAATGTACTCAAAACTACCGACAATTTTTCTAAATAAAATGTATAGAGTAAAATGAGCATGTTATCACGTGGCTTGTTACAAATTTGCACACAAACTCTCCCACGTGAACCTGTGTCACATGGCGTGGAGTGACGTAGCATGGCGTGGCCTGTTGCTAATGGGTTTCGGCCTTTTAGGCTGTTTCGTTGCATAACTGTCCGTATTGACCCCAATTTTCCGCACAAGTTCAGCTAATCAAGCCGTATGATTGTTTATCCATTTATTTTTGAGATCAGTGGGTGTGGGTTCATCAGTTAGTTGGCAACTCTCCCCACAAGATTTTCAATTCCTACGGATGGCCACACTCAACAGTTGGCAGCGTTTGATTGACAGTCCGTCAATTAATCTAGGGACCCATTGAGGGACCCTAACATGCAGAGGACAGATGACTGATTATTATACATGTTCGTTCGTGCTTTTTCAATTTTCCCTCGTTATTGCTTTTTTCATTAATAATCCAATTTCTATTTCATTTTATGTTGGATAAGGTGTTCAGTTCTTTTTTATGGACTTTCAATCAATGCAATAAACAAAGACTCTAAGAAGACACCCATAATTGGTGACCCCGAGAACGCAAGTACAAGAAGCATCAAACAATTTTTCAAGGCGTATCCTTTTTCTCGAAAAACGCCAGCAAGATGTCTAACTCCGGAGGGAAAAATACACACCCGCCACCACTCTCAGTTGACGAAGTTACCGAGGTTAGAAACATCAAACTGTTCCCATTCTGGAAAGTGAATCCAAGCTTCTGGTTTGCACAAGTTGATTCCTAATTCACAACTCATCGTCTCAAGTCAGACCAGCTTAAATACTTCCATATATATTATTTCTGTACTGGACATCGACACCCTTTAACATGTATCCAATTTAGTGGCAAACCCTCAAAACTCAAACAAATATGAAACCTTTAAAAAAATCATGATTGAGCGATGCAGTGACTCCCAAAAACGGCAATTTAGGAATCTTATTGGTGAGATCGAGCTCAACGACAAGAAACCATCCCAGTTACTGAGAGAAATGCGAGTTCTGGCAAAAAATTTCGTGAGTGACACCATTTTGCAAACTTTATGGCTTCAGAGACTTCCTACCAATATTCAAGTAGTCTTCTCACCCTCATCAGGTTTGGATCTGACCAAAATGGCCGAAATTGTCGACGAGGTCATAGGGGTTACTACAAGTTCACTAGTTTTTATCAAAAACTGTGTGGATGCGAAGATCGGATCTCTGAGCTTTCAAATCAAATTTCTGATATCTCTTGAAAGCTCGACAATCTCCTTCGCAACAGAAGCTGGCCCAGGACACGAAACACAAGTAGGGAAGCAACCAACAAAGAATTTTGTTTCTATCACAACCAGGTCTGAAGCAAGGCAAAGAAATGTAAAGCACCTTGCTGTTACAACACTTTATCAAAAAAATAGAAACACCGTTGGTCAAGGAGGTGGCAGCTAACACAGGTGTTCCAACACAGTACTGCCTCTTTATCAAGGACAAAATTACAGGAACAAAATTTTAGCAGACACTGGAGCAGACATCAATGTTCTTCCCAAAAGCTTTGGTAATTCTGTCAATTTTGATTTTCCTTTGCATGCAGCGAATGGCTCCGTTATCCAGACTTTTGGTCATAAAATTCTCACTCTCAACTTGGGTTTGAGACCTGAAGTCACTTGGAAATTCATTATTGCCATTGTTCCACGTACAATTACTAGAACAGACCTCCTACCCCGTTTTGGCCTTGTTGTGAATCTCTCATAAACCGAAGAATTTCTGACTCAATAACAAATCTTTATGTTCCTGGATGTTTTCTTCCTTGCTCGGAGCCTACCGTCCTTGCATGGTGTCAAGAATTTCAAAATTCCATCTTTTAATTGAAAAATTTCCTGAAATTACTAATCCATCAATAATCACTAAAGTCAAAGAAGGTTCAGTCTTTCACCACATAATCCCAAATGGACCTCCAGTGGCAGATCGACCCAGAAAGCTACCACCAGAAAAATTCAAAATTGCCAAGGCAGAGTTCGCATATGATGTCTCAAGGTATCTGTCGTCCTTCGAACAGTCCTTTACATCTGGTCCCCAAAAAGACGAGAGAATGGCGTGTTTGTGAAAATTATCATCGCCTTAATGCAAAACTGTTGCAGATAGCTATCCAATTGCCCATATTGGAGATTTTTCTGATAAACTAACTATATGGCAAGCAAATTTTTTCCACCATCGACCTCGTTCGAGCCTACCATCAAATACCAGTAGCTGCCGAAGGTATCCAGAAAACAGCCGTTAGCACTCCTATCGGTTTGTTTGAATTTCCTGTGATGACTTTTGGTCTAAGAAAGGCAGCACAAACATTCCAAAGGTACATTGACCACATACCTACTCAGAGACTTTGATTTTTGTTATAGTTACATTGATGCCTGAGACAATGAAGAGCAGCACCTACACCATCTTTCTCTAATTTTTGAGAGATTTCAGGTGTGTGGCCTCAAGGTTAATCCCTCAAAATGCACTCTTGGCAAGCCACAAGTACAGTACCTGGGTTATGAAATTTCTTCACAAGGGACCAAGCCTCTACAGTTCAAAGTTGAAGCAATCAAATGTTACAAAAAACCTCAAACAGTTGTTGAACTACGAAGATTTCTTGGTATGATCAATTTTTACAGAAGATTCATCAAGAATTCAGCACAGAATCAAGCACTTTTAAACGAATATCTACGTGACAGCAAGAAGAATCACGAAACCCCAATAGTTTGGACACCTGAATGAGACGAAGCCTTTCACGACTGTATCAATGACATCAGTGATGCTTCTAATTTTGCTATTGGCTCCACTTTGGCATAAATAATTGGTAATATTCAGTATCCTCTTGGTTTTTTCTCTAAGAAACTTTCCAAAGCTGAGATGAATTACTCCACGTATGACAACGTCTCGGCTATAACAAATTCCAATAATAAACTGTGTGATTGTTTTGAATCGTTTTAGAACCGCCCTTTTTTCAAACCCGAACAAAGCTAAGGCATCTAGACGAATTGTAACAATATGTATACCTATTCTCATCTTTTGTGTTTTAATCTGTGGCTCTTAGATGGTGCCACATGTATCGATTAATTTCATTACAACTGATGGAATGGAATGAACCTATAGTATTTTTAATACCTATTTAGAAGTTCCTGTCGTTTTGGTGACAAAACGAATGTCGCTTCTTGACACACAAATAAAATTAGGTTAGGAATTTCCTATTTGTAGATAAAATTGACGTATTAGCAATCGACGTTCGTTTTTGTTGGTAATTTTTTGTTTCATCTGATTCGTGATTGATAAATAAGGATGAGGTTATTCTAAATGGGTATTACAAATACTATATTTCATTACGTGATCAAAAACTGACGGAATGCAAAAATGAAATAGTCGTAGAGAAAAGATTATAACCGAATTTTCGCGACGAATGTAGTTCATCAATAGTTCATTTGTGACGTCATGAGTTTGAACGCTGGCTTGAAGTTGCCTCCATGCTTCCGGCGAACTACGTTTAATATGACGTCATGATTTTCTCGCGAAAGCGTTTGCGTTCATGAAATCATGGAAGTAGTTCGTCGTGAAAATTCGGTATATGTTGAGTTGAAAAGTAGGCCTGGAATATGTTCCTTTATTCATGGATTTTTGGTTAATTTTTCATGAGTGTTCTACCGACTACCGAATGTTATAAAAAATCACTTGATGGCAAATCTAAATTGACATTATTTCTAAAAAAATTATTTTCAAATTGGTTTTTTCATATGGAACCGAAAAAGCATCAAATAAAATTATCATCTTTTAAGCACCAACGCCGTCGAAATTATTTGGGACTCAAACCTGTCAAAATCCACCTAAAATAAAGAACCCACAAACATAGGTTTTTATCTCAGGCGCCCCTTATGGCGTCAAGAGGACATTGAAAGACCACCCAAAAACAAGGTACCCTTTTCAGAAGCACTTCATTTATGAGAAGATTGAAATACGAATTGAAAGTTGAGTGTGTAAAAATATAAGAGAAATGAAAAAATGGACGAATCTTTGTTGTAATGACCATGACAAATAATAAGTAATTTGTAACTTTACGTTCTGTGAATTTAATAATTTTAAAAAGCTTTTGTCGAGTTGCAAAAAAAGTCGCCTGTGTTAAAAACCACGATCTTATCGCATATTTCAAACGTTCGTGCAACCTGAGCACGGCAACGGATCTTGTATACTCCAATTTTGCATCGGTATTGACTCGGTATATTTAATCCGACACCTGAATGCGTCTCAGCGCTTCGTCTTGACATGCTGGCTGTGCGATAATGCACGTCTTTACCTTTAAGGTCTTAGCATGGCGCGACAGTCTGTAGGAAAGTCTTCAAATATTTCGTCATCGATTTACAAATTAACTTTTCAACATCCAACTTAGTTGGAGGTAATTCCAAAGAGGTATTGCTCTAATTACAGTTTGGTCAAGGAGAAATGTTAAAGACACTTATAAAGTGTCCATGATGTTAAATTTGATAAAATTAGTTTGAAACAAGGTACGGATTTAACTCCTTACAATATGACTTTCAAATATCCAAAAATGTGAATTTGGCAAAGTTTTATTTAACAGATTAACGCCATTTTTTGGAAAGTACCACTCATAAGTTCGTGACACTAGTCAACAACAGTTCAACGGCTTCTGGGTAAATAGCTCTTTGTGCGCAGCTCTCTCCGGGCGCTATAAAATTGACTGATACTTAAACATTCACTAATTGGTGTTTGAACTTGAAATTCGTGCAATCCAGAGTTTAGCAATTAAACAAAAAGCCTTCTTTATTGAATTATTCGAAGTATCTCATTCAATAGTAAATGATCATTGTCACTGGCGTAGCCAGGGGGGGGGGCAAGGGGGCATTTGCCCCCCCCAAGACCCTTAAATTTTATTATGAATAATTCTTCAAAATTAAAATAAACAGTCCCAAAAATAGCGTGAAGAAACCTAAAAAAGGGGCGAGGCACCCAAAAATTTCGCGCCTGCGGCGCTTTGCCTTCGGCAGCAGTCGCAGTGGGGTCGCAAGAAACACTTCCTGCAAAGTTGGCCCCCCCCCAAGACAAAATCCTGGCTACGCCACTGATCATTGTATTTAATTGAGTACCTAACTCTAAGTTTAATGAATTCAATTAACAATTGAAAATACTTTTTGTTAATCATCTCATCTTTTTTGAAATTATAATAGGTAGGTAGGTACCTATCTGATCAATCCGACGTAATTTTCCATAAAAATGGAAAATTGTCAAAAATATACCTAAGTAAAAAGATAGATTATCAGGTTTTATCAAAGCTGATTAAATTGTTTAGCTACACTCCCGGGAGGTACTATTAGCGTTAAACCTGCCCAATAGTAATGTCTTTATGTCACAGATGGCGTTACGAGCATGAGTCTCCCACCATTGTTGCTTTCAGTCTTCACAAGTTCGTGGAAAGAGCAACAAAGTGAAGCGAAGTTTTAGTTTCAAAGTGAATTTAGTCGTGAAGTAGTGCGCGTCGCGAACAAGTGCCGAGTGAAACGACCTCAGGTCTTGCCCTAATGGGCTCGAGGAAGGGTGTCAACAGAATAGTCAAGAAGAGGATCCTTGAGAACAAGGACGAAGAAGAAGATGTGCCCGTTTACACCAAACTACGGAAAATCACCATGCCATGCAAAGCTGTGAATATTCGGCTTAAGTGCTCTACCTGTAAGTAAATTCCAAAGTGGGTGTGTCGTCAGATAAAGCGAAGTATGTGAAGTTGGGGCTCGGTTTGGTTGGACAGGAGGCTTTGTTTTGGTTTGAGGTTATGTAGGATTTTCGTCCTTGGGGAGGTCAGCCTGGCAGTAGATCTTGAAGGCCATCCATTGAATATGGCCCAGCCTTATTGGTGTTTCTTTTTGGTAGTTAAAATAGAACAACTCCTTCAAAATACCATTTCAACTGCATGACCAAATTGAGCTCTGCCGGTGCACATTTCACCGTGCTGATTAAGCCAAAGAGAGCAAGAGAGAGCGTAACCTGCATTGCACAACCGTCATTGACAAAATGGTCAACTGTAAATCATATCTAGTAGGCGACTTCATGTGGGCCAACTAACCGCCCCGGTATCATGAAGGTTTTGGAAAAATCAGGTCGGTGTAGAACAAGTGGTTGGGAAATATGTTTTTTAAAATTTTCAAAAGCCTGTTGATGATGAGGCAGCCAACGAAATTTACACGCTTTGCGTGGGAGAGCTATTAAATCTGACATATGTGGAATATATTCCCTGAGCCAGTAGGCTATGACCATGAAACTTTGAAGGTCTTTTTTGGATTTGGGAGTTTGAAAGTTTTGTATTGCTATTACGTGCATTTCTTGAGGTATAATGTGGCTACCCGATATACGGTGAACCAGGTAGTCGAGTTCCGATGTAGCAAATTGACACTTATCTGGAGAAATTTTTA